ATTCCACTATGTACTTACTTTTGATCCTACATAAGAAGATAATCTTTCTGTATCCTGGGCTAAATATTTCTTGAGTATTAAGTATTTAAAGCACTGTATTTCTGGGTAACAAGGAAGGATAGAAAATTGCTAACAGTTCTAGAATATTTTTATATGAATTTTTTGTCCCCTTTTCATCATTAAATTAGAAATTGACATGGGCATTGGTGATTTAAATTTTAACTGGCGAAGATATGAAGATGGTGAAGAAATAGACATAGGAACATAGGCTGAAAGGGAAAAAGAGAAGGTATAGTACATGACTTCAGGGTCTTTTAGCTCTAACTCTCCTTCTAGCATTTAAATTTTTAATTAGAAATATGGGGTAGAGAGAGCTAGAAGGGTGAAGAAGGTACTATTTAATTTGTTCGTCCCTAATAGCCACTACTGAAATCTCTTCAAAATGCATTCCTGTCAGTCTGCCCCCAGCATACCACCAGGCTAGATTCTCAAAGTTCATTTTGGTATGTTTGGGTGTTTTGAAATGCAAAACTCATTTTCCTATGAAAATATAGTGATGACATTATAATGTTGAAAGTGACTTAGTTTTCTAAGCCACATAATCTTATATACATAATCTGATATAGTTTAACAGTGGCCTAAAGAACACTATAGAACCTGGGTAAAATTTATAAAATTAATTCTATGGAAAGTGTATTCAAGTGCTGATCTGATCTTTGAAAAATATATCTTTGCCTCTGACTTGGCAGTGAGACATCTAGAATTGGCAGTTCCAATCGATAATCCATAGATTTGTATGATCTATAGATTTACATGTTTAAAGTGATTTAGAACCAGAAGTAACCATGAATGATTCAACTCAAAGGCAACTCATCATGTTGCTTCCTGCTACTGTGTCAAGGCAATGGCATTTTCAGTTGGCACCATTGTGTAACAGAAAACATAACTCATAGTTTCCAGGTGAAGAAACAAACTTAGAATGATTAAGTGACTTGCCAAAAATCATACAGGTAGAAAAGTGGTAGATCCAGGATCAGGGCCAGCTACATAATTTGAGGGGCCCAGCGGAAAATGAAAAGATGAGGCCCCACGTTCAAAAACCAGGAAAAAAAATTTTCCTTTCTTCCACAGTCTGTGTCTCTAGCCTCCGTGGTGTTTTTTATTTGCTATTTGTTGTCATACTCCTTCCAGCACGGGGATGTTCATGGGGCAAGTGCGGCCTAGACGCACTCCCTCCTCCCCCTGCCACAGGCAGAGGATGGCAGAGGTTGCTCGGTAGGAGTGAATGGCAGAGATCCCACCTAAGAAAGGCAGGGAAGTGAGGTGAGAGGGAAGGCAGGACATGTGTGAGCCAAGGCTATAAGTCCCCAATACATACACGCTCTATTCTTCCATTCAACTTCACCTACAAAACACATATTCAAAGATCAAGTCACTAAGAATTGCAAGACAGCTACTGCAGAGCATTAACTCCCAGGTTTGGGGCCTCCTGCTGAGCGTGGGTCCCTTTGTGAAGGTTATATGCACGTGAAGCTGATCCTATCCAAGACACTAAAGGAGGTCATTTTATTTCAGAATGTTGTACTTCCCTCCACATTAACTGCCTTTTTCGGTGGAAGTATATTTGTGGAGTGGCCTTCTTACAGTGTAACATTTCCATGGAGAGGGCCTGAGGTTCGAGGTCTTAGGATAGAGAACTCTGGACAAACGGTTCATAGGTTTTGGCTTGTGAATTTACTCTGAAGTCGTGATCTTCATACCAAAGTGCATACACTTGACATTCTTGCCATCAGCTACAGTTGCCCCCTCTCAACAGAACAGCCCTTGTACTCTTGACGTCATAAAAGTCACCAGGCACAAAATATAGACCCACTGGGGACTTCCTGACAATTAGTTATTGAAAGTGTCAGAAGTAGTTTGAGTTTCATGTAGAATGCTTTTTTTCCCTCCACCAAGCGGACCTTGCCTCGTCTGGATTTGAGCACTTATTGGCTGGTTTGTTAAAATATATTAGATCCATCAGGCACCCAGTCCCTGCTGTAGATTTTAGTTATATTTGTACATGTGATGGGGCTTAGCTGCAAATTGGGAGGATGTGAAATGGAAATACTATTCTTATCAATCTTAATAGATGAACCAATTAACATACTTTCCCAAGAAGATACTAGTAAAATTTATATTGCTGTGTTTGTTTTATCAGTTAACATTCAAATTCTGACAGAAAGGATTAAGATAAGTCTGCTTGGTTCCATTGAGAAAAATAGGTATTTCTATTTTCTCTAGGAAACTTTTGGCTTTTGAAATATCAAGTATCTAAATATACTGTCAATTTACTTACCAATAGTTTCTCAGCTACCTAAGCAGTTTGTGCTCATCTTTGTTTTTATCATAAGGGTGACAGGCATTTTAATGGTGCTGGCTTGATCTAGACTGATAGTTAGAGCTTTTTTTCCTATCTCTCAAAAGCACTATAAATCTTTGTAAGTAAAGGAAGATAGTTAAGATTGACTGTGTTTTCCAAATTTGCTGGGATAGAATTTTCTAAATATTTTATGTGCTCAGGTATGTGTGAAAAGTTGCAGGACTGCAATATTTATTTTGGAATGAATTAAGGAGTCAGCTCCCTCTATGATTGATTCTAATTATTTCCATTTAATAGAGGTAATATAAATGTGGTACTGCTTTTTCATCCTTTCATCTTTTTTTCCTCTTAATTGCACAATTGATCAATCTTAGTTGTATAAAAGAGAAGGCTCCATTTTGAATGTCTGCTCTGTATTATCTTTGCAAATCCACCAAAAAATTAGAAGAATGGAAAATGAAGTGTAAATGATTCTCACTTCTTCAGATTTATTCAATCAGAATATTCAAGAGTAGGGAACCAATAATCTACAAACATAGTTCATTTCCTTGATGATTACTATGTAGTCAGCCCAAGTCTGGCATACCTTTTTATTCAAACACCCAGAATCTGTCTTCTTTTACTCTTCATCCCAAGATCATCACTTGATGGTTTTCTTACACCATTCGGGTATCATGTCAAATGACTCTTCTGTAAAAGAATTTTTCCTGAACAATCTAGCTAAATGGGTACCTTCATTCCATATCCTATCCAAGTCAAAATCCATTACCTTGTTAACTTCTTTTTTTGTATTAATTGGAAATTGTCTAATTTACTTATTTGTTAATGTGTTAATTGTAAAAATATTGCTGGAAGTTAAGCCTCATGGGAGATCTGTCTCTCATGTTCCTTGTTGCATTCCAATAACTAGAATGGATCTGATTTATAGTAGTTATTTAAGAAATAGTTAATGAAGAGGGTGATGTAAGCATCATGGTGGCATAAGACTCAACCAAAAACTGTCGAAATTAATCAATTAATTTAGTAAAGTTGCAGTATATAAATTCAACATACAGAATCAGTTGCATTTCTATATACTAATAACAAAATGCATAAAAAAGAAATAAAGAAATCAATCTCATTCACAATAACATCAAAAACAATAAAATACTTAGTAATAAATTTAATCAAGGAAGTAAAAGATCTGTACAATGAAAACTATAAGACTTGGATGAAAGAAATTGAAGAAGTCAATAATGGAAAGATATTTTGTGTTTCAGGGTCAGAAGAATTTGTTAAAGAATTGTTAAAACGTCAAACTACCCAAAGTCATCTATAGATTCAATGCAATCTCTATCAAAATTCCAATGGCATTTTTCACAGAAATAGAAAAAACAATCCTAAAATTGGTATGGAACCACAAAAGACCCTAAATAGCCAAAGCAATGCTCAGAAAGAACAAAACTGGAGCCATCACACTTCCTTATTTCAAACTATACTACAAAGCTATAGTATTCAAAAGAGTATGACACTGGCATAAGAATAGACACATAGACCAATGGAAGAGAATAAAAGCCCAGAAGTAAGCCCCACATATATGGGCAACTAATATTTGACAAGGAAGCCAAGAATACTCAGGGAGAAAGGATAGTCTCTTAACAAATGGTGTTGGGAAAATTGAACAACCACATGCAGACAAATGAAATTGGACCCCTACCTTACACCACTCACAAAAAATAACTTGAAATGAGTTAAAGACTTAAAGATAGGGCCTGAAACCATAAAACTCCTATAAGAAAATATAGGGGAAATGTTCCTTCACGTTGGTTTGGCAACAAGCTTTTGAAAATGACACCAAAAGCACAAGCAACAAAGCAAAATTCAGCACGTGGAATTACATCAAATAAAAAGTAAAAGAGGGGCCGGCCCCGTGGCTTAGCGGTTAAGTGTGCAGGCTCCATTACTGGTGGCCCGAGTTCGGATCCTGGGCACTTACGGATGCACCGCTTGTCCGGCCACACTGAGGCGGCATCCCACATACAGCAAGTAGAAGGATGTGCAACTATGACATACAACTATCTACTGGGGGGCTTTGGGGAGAAAAAGGGGAAAAAAAAAGGAGGATTCGCAATGGATGTTAGCTCAGGGCCGGTCTTCCTCAGCAAAAAGAGGAGGATTGGCATAGATGTTAGCTCAGGGCTGATCTTCCTCAAAAAAAAAAAAAAAGTGAAAGAAACAATCAACAAAATGAAAAGGCAACCCACGGAATGGAGAAATATTTGCAAGCCATGTATCAGATAAAGGGTTACTATCCAAAAAATACAAATAAATTATACAACTCAATAACAAAAAACAATCAAATAAAAAAATGGGCAGAGAAACTGAATAGATATTTCTCCAAAGAAGACATCCAAATAGCCAACAGGCACATAAAAAGATGCTTAGCATGGCTAATCATCAAGGAAATGCAAATTAAAACCACAATGAGATTATCACCTCACACCTATTTGAATGGCTATCATCAAAAAGACAAGAAATAACATGTTGACAAGGATGTGGAGAAAAGGGAACCCTTGAGCACTGTTGGCGGGAATGTAAATTTTTTCAGCCGCTATTGAGAAGAGTGGAGGTTTCTCAAAAAATTAAAAATAAAACTACCAGATGATCCAGTAATTCCACTACTGGGTGTATATCCAAAAGAAAGAAAAACAGGATATTGAAAAGATATCTACCTACTCCCACATTTATTGCAGCAGTATTTACAATAGCCAAGATTTGGAAACAACCTAAGTGTCTGTCAACAGATGAATGGATAAAGAAGATTTGGTATATATATATATATACACCAAATATGTGTTCATATATATATATATATAAAATGGTATATTTTTTAAGGAAATTTTATAAAGAAGATTCGATATATATACACCAAATATATATATATAAAATGGAGCATAATTCATCTATGAGAAAGAAGGACATCATGCAGTTTGGGACAACATGGATGGACCTTGAGGGCATTATGCTAAGTTTGATAAGTTCGACAGAGAAAGACAAACACTGTATGATATCACTTATATGTGGAATCCAAAAAAGCCAAACTTGTAGAAACAGAAAGTGGAATGGTGGTTATCAGGGGCTGGGGGTGAGGAAATTGTGGAGATATTGGTCAAAGGATACAAACTTGCAATTAGAAGATGAACAAGTTCAGGGGATCTAATCCACAGCGTTATGATTATAATTAACAATACCATATCATATACTTGAAAGCTGCTAAGATACTAGATCTTAAATACTCTCACCACAAAAAAGAAATGATAGTCATGTGATGGGCTGGAGGTGTTAGCTTACGCTATGTTGTTAATCATATTGCAATATATGTGTATCAAATTAACACACTTTACACCTTAAACTTACAAAATGTTATATACCAATATCTCAATAAAAAATAGTTACTGAATGAATGAGTGCATTGTATAGCTATATTACATTCTTGACAGTCACAAGCAATTTTTCAACATTCATCAAGGCAACTTCTTTGATTTCTCTGCCTTGAAAACAAATAGGGACAGCAAATGGTTTCTCTAACGTTTTCTCATCGACTTAGAGTTCTACATTTAATGTAAAATGAAAGCCAGATAAAACATGCCATTAAATGGAGATTGTTAGAACAAAAAGGGAAATTATATCATTTTATCACATTTCTTTATTTAATAGATTAAGAGATAGGTTCAGAATGAATAAATGCCTCATTTAAAGATACAAGAATCTATAGGAGAACTAAGCCCAAAACTTAGATTTACCAATTTGCCCACCTAGCAGTGTTTCCACAGCTTTCTCTTGTTCAACGAGAATTCTTAGCATTAGAAATCCAACTCAAACGAAGGGAACTTGCTTATCACACAAGAGAAAGACAGACTTCAGTCTCCTCTTGAGCCTAGACCTCTTACAGGGTTGTGCTTCCTTTCTCTCTCTCCATCCCTCTCTTCTCTGCTTCTCTCAATGTGTTGGCCTTAGTTTCTCAGACTGGAGATAAGCTTTTTTAATGTGGCTAAAGATAAGACCCATGCTCACCCTATTCCACAAGATCCCAGGCTGGTAATCCCAGTGAAAGACAGCCAACATTTTTCCCCGGGACTGTATCTACCTAACACCGTACAGGGTTGCTGACCGTCTCTGTTTGAGCGTATGCACTTCTCTGAACCCATCACTGTGGGAGATAGATTGGTTGATTAGCTCAGAGCTATAAACTCATTTTTGTGTCCAGGAGAACAAAGCGTATTAATAAAATTAGGAGAAGAAAAATTTATGTAAAGGGCATACAAAAATCATAGCTACCACAAGGAATTATACACAACTTATTTTTTTACATCCATGTGATTTTTTACATATATAAAGTTTATATAAAAGGAGTTTTCCAAATGCCTCCTGCTGGATTATTTATCTGCTCTAAACTCAGTTATTTCTTTGTATCTAAAATTTCTGATATTTCTTTCCAAGATTATCATATATTTTCTTGGTGATGTTTTCCAAGCTACGTCTCAAAAGAGAAAAAAGATTTGTATTATTTGAATATACATCATAATTTGAAAAGGGGAATTGAATACTTTGAAAGAAGACAAAATTGTAAAAACTAATGCTAGTCAACATTAATCAATTTTAGGAAAAGTTTTATCCATAGCTACTGTGAACATTTTTCCGTATTATTCTTAAAATATAACTTCTAGAGCAATTACCTAGCCTAAATATGTTTATGTTTACTTAAGACAAAAAAATTACTCTATGTGAAATGATAAACTTTTTGTTTGTTTGTTTTTGGTGAGGAAGATTCGCTCTGAGCTAACATCTGTTGCAAATCCTCTTCCTTTTTGGCTTGAGGAAGATTAGCCCTGAGCTAAGATCTGTGCCAGTCTTCCTCTATTTTGTATGTGGGTTGCTGCCACAATGTGGCTTGACAAGTGGTGTGAGTTCGCACCTGAGATCTGAACCTGGGAACCCGGGCTGCCGAAGCAAGTGACCCGGACTTAACCACTACCCCACGGGACTGACCCCAACTTTTTTTTAACTTTCTTGCCATGTCAGACCTCTATGCTTGATCCCTCTGCAAATATTGCCCTTCCCATAAGTAAAGGTATCCTCACTATTTATGGGGGAAGAAAATACTGATCTTCTCTCTCAACTATATCCCCAGCAAGGGATATGCAAGCTCATTAATTCTCCACAGGACAGTCAAGTCTAGTCATGACAGTTGATGAGAATCTGCTAAAGGTTTAGAATTCTGGAGGGAAGTAAATACAGCTTGTAGCTACTGCACAATTTCTGCTTTTAGGGATCCTTAATGTGTCACCTCCCTGCCTTGCTCCTTTGCCACAACCATGTGGCATTGGGAAGGATCTATACATTGCCATGTTTCAGAATCCAAAGAAAAAAATGACTCTAATACTTAGAAATGAAGTTCTGTCATGGAGGCCAGCCCAGTGGCACAAGCGGTTAGGTGCGAACACTCTGCTGCAGAGGCCTGGGGTTCCCTGGTTCTGATCCCGGGCGCGCACCTGCGCACCACTTGTCAAGCCATTTGTCTTTATTTCCCAGAAAATTTCCCAGATAATTCGCTATGGATAAATCTAGTCCTTTAGGGAAATCTCAACTCCCACTCACAAGGCTGAGGTCAGAGATTTTGCAAGTATATCCACAGCCCATGTTTGAATTTGAACAAGGCATCTCGTCCGGGCAAATAGAAAAAGGTGCCCCTCAGAAGACCAGATGCACAAGGCTCACAGCTCAGTGAGTAGATTCTACTCTGTACAACCAAAACAAAACAAAATCAAACAACCGAAAGGATGATCTTTCCTCTGTTGGGAGCCAGTCTTGTGCCAGGTTCAATTTCAACCTCTCTCTGTTCCCTGACAGGCTGCTTTTTTGCAGTGCACAAATTGCAGAGATGTACATAAGCAGCATGGGTATGGTTTTACAAAAGTTATCAGAACAATAGTTCAACATAGTACATTTTCCCACTATCTAAGAACTTTAATTAGAAATAATAGCACCTACTACATCATCATTCTGGTGTAGGAGCCCGGTCATGCTTTGCATCCCTAGTCCAGGTTGTTTTCATCAACTCTCCTGTGGTAGAAGGTGAAGAGCATATCAAGTCTGGAGATCTCTACATTCCAGATCCTCCAGGAGTTTGAACGGTAGCACGCACAACTCTGCAAGAATAAGCCACAGGATAGTCTAAATTCTTCTTTAGAAAAAAACATTGATCTAAGTGAAGCCCATGCAGGAATGTAAATCTGCTACTATAAACAGTAAATTGACAGTACTAAATATTACACTTAAATGTTTGATCCATGAATTCTTCTTTTTGGTTGTTTTCCTGTATTAAGGTCGTGCTTAACTCACAAAGATCTACTGAGTGATTTATCTTTCACTGTCCAAAGGGAAATGGCGCAAAGATCAATTAAAGTTTTAACACTTGTAAACAGAAATTTCTTTCAACTTTTAAATGACAGCCTTTATAACGTAAAACAACACCCACTTAGGCTCAGTTCCCACCTAGGGAATTTCCTATATTGGCAGAGAAAATCTTGATCAGAAACATGGTCAAGTAACATAGGAGTGGATTAACTAAGTTTCTTAAATGATCTTGAGAATAATAGAGCTCTGTTTCCTCTCTCCCTTTCTCTCTCTCCCCCACTTCTTCCAACGCCATTAGCTATGGAATAGTCTCTTCTAAATTTTGTCAGCTTTCATAATTGTACCCCTAAGGAAAAATATCCACTATAATCTTGAACCCAATAAGAAATAAGAGGGTGATCCCAATAGGTGGATTCAGTTGTTTCCGTATTTACAATATAATCAGAGCCCTGATTTATACTTGATCTCTTGGGAACTGATCCCCATAATGAGTGTGATTTGACATCAGTGGGATATAAAAGATTTTTTCCTAATGTGAATTCTGCAAATACTTTAGCAATAAAGCCCAATTTTGCCTTAGCGACATTTTGATTGATTAGAGTGCTAGAGGGTCCATGGAGAAAGGGATTCCAAATTCTCTAGCATGTTACTTTATGTATGACCTCTATCTGAAACTTAAAGAAAAATCTATTTGCGGATTTTGAATTTCCCTTAAAGTACAACTATTTTCTTCTCTTTAAACTGATGAATTCTGCTAACTACCAAATTTTAGCAATTTTATTTAGAATTTAATATTTTCAGCCATATTTTTCATATGGGTAAAATCTTGAGTAACAATTAGCTAGTTCTATGTTATGGATATCAAAGGAGGCCAAGTTGCTAGTATTTTAATCCACGCTTCAACTATTTAAAATGGGTATGTCACCTCTATTGGTATATCAATAGAAGTGAAGAATATACAGAACTTAAGAGACCCTTGATGACTGAATTAACGTTGGTGGTTGGATCCATATAAAATTACTAACCTACTTTTGTACAGAGAAGTCACTAGCTTGTTTTTTTTTCAATATTTATAAGACAAAGTGAATTATTATTTGTTAATGTAAAGCAATATTCAAAGAGCACCACCAAATTACATTTAACAAAACCAACTATTGAGGCTATGCCGGTTTCAGCAAATTGAATTGCAAGCAATTTTGGTAAACTCTTACTGATGTTTCCTCTGTTACAGTTATTTTCCTTGTCTATAGAATAACAATAGAAGAATTATTTTTAATTTGTTAAATAGAAATAAATAGAAATAGAAGTCCAAGCCTCAATTATTTTCTTGTATATCATCCACATTTGTTACTTACATAAATTTTTCATCAGCTGAGATTGTTTCATTTATTAATTTTGTATTTGTTTATATTCCGCTTTTATCAACTGGAATGTAAACTAACAGGTCACTTTTCTGCTCTATTTAACAAAGTATCTCTAGCATCTATTGCAACTTTGACACATACTAGACACCTCATAAATATTTTTTAAATGAAACAATGGATAATGAAGTATACTATATTCTGGATACAGAAAACATTCATTCATTAAATAAACACATTTACACCTACTAGATGAAAACTATTCTTACAAAACATGAAAAATTATGTTATCTTGCAATAGACATGCAGAAAAAAATCAGACACACATGGGCTTAGTTTTCAACCATAACAGACTTATTTTACATGGATTAGAGTTTAGATTTCTGATCTAAGAATCAACAGAGGGCCGGCCCCATGGCTTAGCGGTTAAGTGCACGCGCTCCGCTGCTGGTGGCCCGGGTTCGGATGCCAGGCGCGCACTGACGCACTGCTTCTCCGGCCATGCTGAGGCCGCGTCCCACATACAGCAACTAGAAGGATGTGCAACTACGACATACAACTATCTGCTGGGGCTTTGGGGGTAAAATAAATAAATAAAATCTTAAAAAAAAAAAATCAATAGAGGTCAGGGTGGGGGAAAAAAACCTGTTAGCGCTGGATAATCTGGTATTAACTCTGATTTGAGGAAATACAAACAGGATGAAAAATATCTTTTTTTTAAATTACAGAATGCTTTAAGAGACAATGAGAAAAGTATCACTACTTTGAAATGGTAAAATCACACCAAAAAAAAAAAAGGAATGTTATGACTTCCAACCTTTGAGAAAGGACTAAGAATTTATGTCTGCATTAAAATAAGGAAAAATAAAACAGTTTCAACTGAGATGTCTGGTTTACTTTCAATTCATTTCAAACCCCGCTGATTCAGTGAAACCACAGGTAATTCACATTCTCTTTATTAACCCACTAATGAACTAACTCTCCTATGAGTAACTGTTTGTATGTATATATTCATTCTCCTATCAGTAACAGTTTATATGTATATATCCACATAATCTCTTAACAGTAAATATCGGTCCTTCTACTTTCCAAATCTAGCAGTTTCATGCTAACTTGGTAGTATCATGAAAACAATGAATACATTTTAACATACATAATTATCCAAATAATCATTCACCATTCAGTCACTAATTGTCCATACGTTTATTGAGTGCCTGGTCTGTTGGTCATTGAAAAGTTGGCTATAAACAATAAATATAATAACCGTATCCTGCAACAAAATTCCAAATCTTACATATTGATAATTAAAATAAAACATTTCGTGTACTCTGAAATTTACTATATTCCTTAATGTGTTGAAATACAAATTAACTTACTTTAACTTTGAATATTTTGGATAAAACTGGCCAGTGAAATAATTTCTATGATCCTAAAAAAATTATTCTTCACTGCCTGCTCCTCAATTAATAAATATTTATTGAATATCCAGCAAAAACTACCTATCAGTACAACACAGATTTACATCAGTTATAAGTTACTTCATTGAGTGTAAACAAAAACTCTTTCCTTGAGGTTTATGATTTGCAGTGGGTTACTGAAAGGTATTATAAAAATGATGTCATTGGATATCATTACAAATAGGATTCTCAGGAGACACAGTTTGTATGTGATGCTCTAAGAGAGAGCGAGAAATCCACGGTATTTTCCAAGGTCATGTCTACTTTCTATGCATGGCAGGTACATTTGTAATATACCATAATTCTAAAAAGTGCTGGATCGAGGTTTCACCAGGTCACAATTTCATCACCCAAGTCAATAGCTGCTGTCTAAAGATTTGCAACTACAGCAGAGACACTGAAATTTGTTACAAATGTCTAATAGTTCCCATTCCAACTTCTGCCATATGAAAGGATTAATGCTGTGCCATTTAAAAAAAAAGTTTTATCTTGCATTAACTTTCTTGACGATTAGTGGAGCTTTAATCAAGCGGGATAGAAAGACCAACTATTCAAACTACTGAATCCTGAAAAGGTCACAGTATTGCAGCACACTCCCATAATTTACTGTCTCCTATTACACACTCTAAAAATGGTCACATTCTCTTCTCAAAGGCAAAACACTAACTATTTGACATAAAGTCACGATACTTACTGAATTCAGATCCAATTTAGGTCAAAGCTGATAATATTATGTTACCTGTATAAAAGCATTACTCTGAAGAATGTAGAACAGTAGAATTATATCAGAGCATATCAAATGTAGTTTACATCTATGTATCATTAGTGATGTGAAATTGAAAGTATTGTGTGTTTACAAATAATATAAAAAATGTTTTTAAAAATCCTAGATGGCACGTGTATAATGACTAGAATCTTTCACCATCCTGATGCAACAGCCATCCGAGAGATTCCCACATATGTCTCCTTGCTAAATTTGGCTTTTTCCAACCAAGACATTGGGGATTCTCCCTGGACCCCATTCTTGGGATAATGTCCCCTACTTTTTCTTACCACCATTGACTCTTCTCATAATGGTGTTCACAGCATACTCATACAATAGCGTAGTACAACTTGTGTGTAAGCGTTGTTAATTTCCACGTTCATAGGCATTTCTTAAGGACACACTATCTAGCCTTAAAAATTACCGTTTTATCTTTACTCCCAGAGTAGTTGATTTTTTTACTCTTCACTGGAGGATTTAGGCTGTTTCACCCTTCCATTCTCAGCGTGGCCTCTGATTGTAGCTGCCTTCTGTCTGCCACTTTGTAAACCCAAGATCAGAAGTTCAGTGCTTCCTTTACTACTTCCTAGAAACCTTTCATTTTAACTCTCTTTCTAAGAAATTATCATTCTGCAATTTAGTTGAGAAAAATACTTTTTCATATTTCAAATAATTTATGAAAAATATATTTGAAAAAGAATCATAAGTGTTCATCTTACATTGTAACCAGATTTTTGGTAGAGATAGATTTTGTTTTCAATTTTATCAGAGGGTCATGGGAAGGTTTACAATGAAAGGTTTCAGTTCCCTCTCACACCAAATCCTACTACTCTAAACAAACACTTTTAATCCTCTTAACTCTTATTTTTTTCACTGGCATATTTTTAAATAATATGCTGATATTGCTCTCTTTCTCCTTTCTTTCTCTTTTTTTTTCCCTTGTGGATCTGTCTCCCTCCAGTTTTCCATTCTCTTGCTTTAATCTGGAATATTTGATTTTTAGACTAGATGTACAACTACACTACTTTCTAAATCAGCTCATCTTTACTCTCTTTTGATGGATTCATTATTTTCTAGATCCCATGTTTCTTCTTTCCTACTTATCCCTGAATTTACTAGAACATATTTTAATATAACGTTTTAATGAAGAGGTGTATGTGATGATGCTTTTTTTCAAACTCTTTTCCTAACTGATAGTTTAGCTGAACATTGATCTGGCTCACTAAGTTTCCATGATGTTCATGCAAACCCTAAACATCACTAGGATTTGCCTAGCTGCACTAAGTCTTTTTCCATCATTTATCAGAGTGTGGTGGGGCCACTTCAAATTGGAGACTTGTATCTTTAAGCATTTTTTTTGTATTTACTCTGTTAATTATTTACATCTTAAATGTAAACTGTCTAAACTTAATATGCCACATTATATTTCTTCTGATTAGTTTTTCCATGCTACATATTTTCCTCATCTCTTTAAAACTTTCATATTATGTTTTAGGTGTGCATTTTATAAACAGCCTAGAGCTGGATTTTCATTTATTCCAATTTGAATCCTCTAACTTTAACAGGAAATCTTAATTCATATACATTTACTGGAATCACTAATATATTTTG